GCCAACCCTTTAAATATTTTACTTGCCAGCCTCTATAAATGTGAGCCAGTTCCTTAAAATAAATCTCTTTACACACACACACACACACACACACACACACACACACACACACACACACCCCTTATTGGTTCTGTTTCTCTGGAGAAACCTAATACTGAAGAATTAGCACAAGAAAGAGAGAGAGAATAAAATTATACAAGAACAAAGTTTTTTTTGTGCTATTGAAATTTGATATTAATCTGAATGAGGTTCTTGTAAATTAAAATGCAGAAAAAGCATCTGATAAAATCCAACATGCCTTCAATATAAAAATGCTAAGCAAATTAGGAACAGAAGGAAACTTAACATGATAAAGGGAATTTATGGAAAATCCACAGTTAACATCATACTCAATGGTAAAAGACTTAAAACGACCTCCTTAAGATCAGGAAAACAAAGATGCCTGTTCTTACCACTGTTATTCGACAATGTACTGGAAATTCCAGCCAGAGCAACTAAGCAAGAAAAACAAATAAAAGGCACCCAAATAGGAAAGGAAGTATAACTATCTATTTGCAGATGACATGACTCTATTTATAGAAAACCACAAAGAATATTTTTAAAAACCTAAAGCTAATAAATTCAGAAAAGTTGCAAAGTTAAAGATTAATACAGAAAAGCCAGTTGTATTTTGACATAACAGCAATGAACAATACAAAAATGAAATTAAGAAAACTATTTCATTTACAATAGCATCCAAAAGAATAAAATGCCTAGAAACAAATTTAACCAAGGAGGTAAAATACTCTACCTGGAAACTACAAAACGATTGCTCAAAGAAATTAAAGAAGACTTAAATAAATGGAAAAACATCTCATGTCTATATATTGCAAGACTGAATATTAATAGGATGGAAATACGTGCAAAGCAATCTGTAAATTCAGTACAATCTCTATCAAAATTCTAATGGCTTTTTTTTCAGATATAGAAATGCCTATCTTCAAATTTACATGGAATTCTAAATAGGAATTCCCTGAATAGCTAAAACAATATTGAAAAAAATAAAATAAAACTAGAAGACTCATATTTTCCAATTTCAAAACTAACTAAAAAGAAACAGTAGTCTAAACAGCATTGTACTAACCTAAAGATGGACATATATACCAATGGAACAGAATTTAGAGTTCAGAAATAAGCCCAAGTATCTATGGCTAACTGAATTTTAACAAGGGTGCCAATACTACTCTATGGAGAGAGAATACAGTCTCTTCAAATGGTGCTGGGACAAACGGATAATCACATGCAAAAGAATGAAGTTGAACTCCCTACCTCACTGTGTATACAAAATGTAACCCGAAATGGATCAATGACCTAGACACAAGAGCTAAAGCTACAAAACTGCTAGAAAAAAACATAGGGGTAAATCTTCATGACCTCAGATTTGGCAACAGATTCTTAAATTTGAAACCCAAAACACAAGGAACAACAACAACAAAAGACAAATTAGACTTTATAAAAATTTAAAACTTTGTGTATCAAATAATATCAAGAAAGTGAAGACATTCTACAGAATGGGGGAAAATATTTGCAAATCACATATCAGATGAGGGTTCTGTATCCGGAATATGTAAAAAAAAAAAATCTCTTATGACTCAACAAAAAGAGAAATAGCTCAAATTAAAAATGGGAAAATGATTTGAAAGGACTTCTCCAAAGAGGATATATATATGGACAATAAACACCATTGGTCAATGCAAATTAAAACCACAATGAGATACCACTTCACAATGACTATAATTAAAAAATGAAAAATAAAAAGTGTTGGCAAGGATGTGGAGAAACTGGAAACCTCTTACATTGTTGTTAGGAATGTAAAATGGCACAGCTGCTGTGAAAAACAGTTAAACAGTTCCTGAAAAAGTTAAACATAGAATTGCACATGACCCATCAATTTCACTCTCAGTTACATACCCCAAAGAACTAAAAATAGGTACTCAAACACATATACAGGCATGTTCATAGCAGCATTATTCACAAGAGTCAAAAGGTGGGAACAGTCCAAATGTCCATCAATGATGAATGGATAAACGAATTGTGGAATAAACATACAACGGAATTTTATTCATCTATAAAAAAGAACAAATTACAGATATATGCTACAACTTGGATGAACCTTAAAAACATGCTCAATGAAAGAAGCCAGACACAAGAGGTCACATATTTCATGATTACGTCTACATAATATATCCCAAATCAGTAAATCCATACAGACAGAAACCAGAGCAGATGTTACTAGCAGTAGGGGAAGGGTATACGGGGAATAAGTACCTCCTTCCAGGGTCAGAAAGTGGTTGAAATCAGCAAGTGGATACCCTGGTGTGCTTGCTTGAGGTGGCACCTGGGTCCCTGAAATAAGTGGACATTGGGGGCTGCAGCAATGAGGAAATGGGCTGAAGCTAAACATACTTCTCTCGCACTCTTTGAAGTGCAAAGTGCCAACGAGAACTGTTCTTTCTGTCAGCCAAAAGGAGAGACAGAGAATGCAGATGGCTTTGGGGCAAATTCCCTGAGAGGAGAACCCTACACAGAATTGGCAAGCTGTCTTGACCCGGGCAGCTCCCGGACGCTGCAAGTGGTTCCTGACAGAAACAGACACTTACTCTGGACTAGGCTTTGCATAGCTGCTGGTAAATGCCAACACTCAAAATACTAAAAAAGGACTAAAACAGAAGACACTTCACCAATCTGGCCCCCCAAGTCACATTTCTTCAGACCAAGGAATATACTTTCATTCTCAGAGTAACATTTTGACAGAGAATTAGAATAGGGAATCAAAACATTTCTTGTCTAAAATGGAGGGAATAAAGGTGAGAAGGTCTAGCTTACGCATTTTCATGAGTGTGTACTCACAAGTCAACATGAGTGAGGCCAAGGGAATGTCCCATTACATAGAGTCCTCCTCTTCTCTAGGGCATCCAGAAAACACTGGTATAACAATACTTTTTTTATTTTCCCCCACATGACCGTAACCCTTTTTTCTACCTGATATAGTGGTTCTCGAACCAGGACTGCAACTGCAGGTGACAGAAGCTAGCCGTGTATTCATTTGCTAGGGCTGCTGTAAAAAAGGACCACTAACTGGGTGGCTTAAACAACAGGAATGCACTGGTTCACGGGGCTAGAAGCTAGAAGTCTGAAATCAAGGCACTGGCAAGGTTGGCTCCTTCTGTGAGGAAGGAACCATGACTCTCTCCTAGCTTCTAGTCACCTAGAGTGTTCCTAGGCTTGGAGATGGTGATCCCCTGTGTCTTCACATTGTCTTTCCTTTTGTGTGTTTGTCTGTGTCCAAATCTCTTTTCATAAGGACACGGTCATATTGGATTAGGGCCCACTCTAAAGACCTCATCTTAATTTGATCAGTGCAAAGACTCTATTTCCAAATAAGATTACATTCATCAGTAGGACTTCAACATCTTTTCTTTTTCTGGCTGGGAGGGTGGGGGGCATGATTCAACCCATAACAATCTCTAAGTAAGAGACTGTAACTATATATTTTAAACCTGTATGTTAGAGTTCCTAAGGACCTAATGGGGTGGATTGTGCTTTCACCCTCTGGCAAAATTGAGGTTCCCTAACTTAATATGAATATGTTAGGCAAATTCATGATGATACTACTCAACAAACAGAATGCGGTGGAAGTGATATTGCATGGCTTTCCACACTAAGATATAAAAGGTGACATGCCTTGCATCTGGCTCTTCTCAGTCTCTTGCATTCTACAGAATGGGGACCCAGCCATCATGCTTTGAACCCAGCCATCATGCTGTGAGGAAGCCCAAATTAACTCATGTGGGAAGACTATATGAAGAGGCCCATGTGAAGAGGAACTGCAGCTCACTGCCCTGTCCAACTGCCTGACGGTGAATACCATAAATGCTCACTGCATGTCACTGTTCTAGAGTAACCTGTTAGACAGCCATCAATAACCAAACAGTGCTCAAGTAATTTACAACCCAGAGGGAGGAAGACATAAGGAGACAAGTGACTAATATAAGGCAGGACGTGCTACGCTACACATAATATAAATAAAGGGCCTTGGGAGAGCAACATAAAGCTATAAGCCTAGCTAAAGGCTGGAGCAGTGGGGGGAAATGGGAAAGGCTTCACAGAAGTAATTTTTGAGCATGGGCCTAAAAGACACACAGAACTTTGAAGGAAAACAATTGCAGCAATAACAAGCAAAAGGAAGGTGTGGTAGTAGCTGGTGGCAAAGTAACATATCACATGGAGCTCCTTAGAGACAAAAATTCAACTTCTTTTCTACATAATCTCTAATACTGAGACAGTATCAAACTATTTAAGGGAAATCTTAGGAAACAGTTACTTTAAAAAGAAACAGTAGAGTTATAGAGACTGACTTTAATCATTAAATTTCTTGCTGGTTAATCTCTATGCAAAGGGCTAACTCTGACCCTAAGAAATGAAAGTCGCTTATCGGTGCTTCCCTTGATGTACTGGCTAAGACAAAATAAGTATTTTGTTTGTTCTTTGTTCTAGACCCAATATCAGCCTAATAACAGCAATTCTCCATGGTTAGCATTCCTTTAAGCTCTAGAGGTAATTTATAGGGAGGCATCTGTCTTAAATCCAAATGAAAAAAGGCAGCGCCTAATTATAGCCATAAAGCTGAGTAAATTCATAAACTACTTTAACTGCTGAAAATTACCCCCAGCTTCCCTGATAAGAGCACAAAGACTATGTCTGTAAGCATCGGGCTGACAACCTGGGAAATAATCATTACTTACCAAGCCAAATCAAAGCATTTGGCTCTTTAAGCTGCTCTATACAAGCAGCAGCCTGTAAGCAGCCCCTCCAAGCTGCCTGCTCAGCAATGACTGACTCTTCAGTCTGTTTAGGAGACTCACCTTGGACGTGGGAACCCTCCCCCTAATTCAGACTTCTTGAAGTGCTCAGATAGGCAGTCCTTCCAAACCTTGAAACTTTGGGATTTCTCTTCTCACCTCATAAAACTTTTTTAAGGAGCCCACCAGGCACAGCTTCAGGCTATCCACAATCTCCTGATGAGGCATCTGGAATACCACTCTGGAATACCATTTTGTGAGAGTGCTGCGGCAGAGGTAGGAGAGAGAGATGAACACACACTTGCAGAGGAAGGCCCACGGTGTGAATACCAGCACACATGGGCTTCTCTATGCACCAATCCAACAACAGGTTGTAAATGTATTTACATTACATGTAAAAACACATGGTGATGTGGGGAAAAGATATACATGAACCACAGAGAACGTAAAAATATAGGCATAATTGTGGATACTTGCTACAAAACTGCTTCCAATTGAAAAAACTGAACAACCTAGATATCCACCAACAGAAGACTAGTTAATAAATAGTGCTGTGGCATACAATAAACTCCATGCAGCAGTTAAAAAGAATTGGCTGTGGTTTACTTGTATTGATATGGGAAAATGTGCAAAATATACAGCTGAAGTACAAAAATCAAGCTGAGGCACAGTATACATGGTACTGCACCGTTTGTGAATACATATATACAGTACCTACATGTGTTAATATATGCACAAAAGAGAATCTGAAAGTATATACATCAGACCTTAGGCAGTGGTTAATAGAAGACGGACTGTAAGAAACTTTCACTTTCTAAATTTCTTCAGATATTTGAATGAGCATGCCATATTTTTACAATCATAACAAAAAAACCCTCATTTCTGGGAGAAAAATCATCACCTACAAGACACAGTCCCCATTCTAAAGGAGAGTACACTGCAGCTAGGAAAAAAACTTACAAGTGTGACCAGTTTGGTAAACAGATCATGTAAACTAATATCATAAGAACACAGAGGAGGAAGGAGTTGAATATGTGTTTATGTATTAGGTAAAAGTAAATATATTTTTACTACCATATCAAATGCTCAAAAAATATTTGCTGTATTTATAATAAGATTCGGCATCCAAAGGAAGTAACCAAATAAAGAAAGTGGCATTAAGAGTAACACTTACAGGTTGATGCTTGCCACGAAGCCGACCACGGAGCGCATGCCTCTGCTAGGGTCATGGTAAACGTCCATCCCGATGACCATTAACTGTTTCTGTGTTAGGAAACAAAACAAAACAAAACAAAAAACAAATCAAAAAACCCTGAGTGATCCATCACACTGAAAACTGAATTTCACATAATTTTCATGTGTCAGAAAACATTTGTCTTATTTTTATTTGAAAAACGGGCAATGAACCATTTAGACTATGAAGCACAGAGAGTAGGGCTAACTCTGTAAGGAAAATAGCTTCGCAGGGTTCTCTGGAGAGCTGAATAAAGACATATCTCAGTATCACTCACCAGAGGAATATCCACTCCCCAGAGCTCGCCACCCAATTTACAGTTAATCTGAAGTAAAATCTTCTGGGCCACACTCCGAAGCCTGGTGGGCTGACCAATGGTTCGGACATTGATGACCTATCATGAAGGGACCAAAAGGTATGGGGAAAGAGGATACTATCAACCTTTCAGACAATGTAAACAACTCAAAGTAAATACTATATTTGTTTAAGAAACTCCAGTTAGCAGTTAATACTCTTTGTATTAAGTTTTAGTTCTAGGGTTTCTAGGAAGGTGCGTGCGCGTGCACACACACACACAAACACACACCACAAACCAAATAAAAAACAAAAACTTCCAAAACATCTCATGCAGAGTAGATTTTTTTAACTTCCACAGAAAAACATCTTTCCCCTTTCAAAGTGGAGCCTATACTCTCAGAACCCAGTCATGTGAAACCACCTGGAGACTCACCCTCTGAACAAACAGAAGTACTAATTTGGGAACATGAATGCAGCGTTTATGAAGAGCATCTGCTATTCTCCTGGTTACTCTAATAAGGGGAAGGTTTTGCCAGGAGAGTCTACACATGCTGGCTTCTAATAGTTACTTGAGTCTTTCCCTCTTTCCCAAGACTCAAGGGAGGCTAGAGTGTCTGTCTGTGCATCCGGCCCAGCTCCCACTCACCTGTGAGGGCACCGGAGCCTGTACACAGCATAGCTTTTTAATGGCCCCATAGAGATCATCACGTGTCCCCATGATGATGCAAACGACCATCTGTATCTTCCCCTTGAGGAGATAAAGTGTACATAAGTCAGGTTTTGGAACTCTCGGGGGACCCTGACAAGGCTCCAGTCAGGGGCAGTTTGAGAGTCTGCAAAAGCACAGGAATTTTAAGGTAGAGAGGGGACTGAAACAAAGAGGGCAGACATTCTAAGACAGAAAACAGTCCTGGACCATAAATGTTGGGCCCAGGGCTTCTCTGCATAGATACGTAACGTGTTACCATAGATTACTGAGAGCTGATAACCTGATTTATTTATTAGCAGGCTTAAGATGCCTAGAAAAGGACCAGGCTTGAAAATATGCAAGGGTTATTTACTTATTGCTTGCTGCTTTCAATGTTTTTTTTTTTTTTTACCACTCTCTTTAGTAAACTAAGCACCTTACGACATTCATACCACAAAACTTTAACTGAGGACACGTGGAATGCAATACCACAAGAAAGGGTTTAGGGCCAAATGCACACGGAAATGAAGCGACTGCCAAATCCATAAGTAGCTCTCTCTGACACTCTGGTTCAGAGAGAGAATGATATTGCCAGCAGCACACCTCATATCGGCACCCTCTTCACTGCTTTAGAGATCCAATATAAAAAACAGAGGACCTTTCGAAGTCTGAATAAAGAAAAGCAGCGCTCAAGTGAGATAAAGCTGCCAACCCTTTATACCAGAAACAACTATAAATGCTAAATCAATAATATGCTATTTCAAATCAAGATTAGTGTTAGATTAAGACTTCTCAGAGGACATTGCAGCAATATCATCAAAGAACTTCCAAAGTCACGTAGAACACAGGCTGCGCACTGGGAGTCTATGGGCTGGATCTAGCAAACGGATGTGGTTTTTCAGTCCCTACAATAATTTACAAGTTTTTTTTTAAATTAACCATTAAATGTAGGGAGGTGCACACATAAGCAAATCCAGATTTTTGGCTTCTATTGAAAACAAATTAAAAATCAATAGGACATTGCTGAGCTTTTATTTGCCATCATGGAGTTTACTCTCTTTAGTTTACTACAGTCCCATCCTGGCATACTCCACGTATGTGTATTACTCATCTGGCTCCCACAGGCATCTGAGTTTGTGACCCATAACTAAGAGAATAATAAAAGAATGCTGTAAAGATTACAGAGAGACAGCAAGATCAATATGAGTTAAGTCTGATAAATATGAATGAAACTCGTGTCCATGCTGCATGAAAAGAGTTAGCAATACATCTCATGAAGAGAGCATGAGGGACTGTGAATGGGGGAGTTGATGCACTAAACTGGGTTGTTCTTTTGAAAGCAGAGCAGACTTCATCAATTACCAGGCCTGAGGGGTAGGGAGGCCATGGCAGAATATGGTAGGCATGGGAAGGAGGAGGAAATTACAAAAGAGAAAGAACATGAGTGTGTCGCTACAGATGGATATACCCAGAGTAGTAGGTAAAACAGAGAAAACTGTGATGCTAAAATAATATAATTCTAGTATTGATCTCACAAGAACTAATCTTCAATTCAAGGATTACTTCTCAAAACTTTCCTCTGCTTTTGTTTCCTCTTTAATCTTCTTCCTGTTTTCTGTACAAAGAGATAAGAACTATAGGCCTGAACTACTCAGTTGTTGAGTACTATGACCTGCTCAGCTCCAGTGGTCCTGATCAGCCAACAGCACCAAGCTGATAGGCCATCTGCCAGCCAAGTTCATCGCCAAAGCAACCTGAATCTCAAACTAGACCAAACTGTTACAGCTCAGTACTGAATCGTGCAGGATGGCACCTGGCCCAAGAAATTGCTAAGTACGACATGTACTATATAGATAACGAACTAAAGTTAAGTCAGCTATTCTCTCAGCCAATTACGTGACAAACAGAACACTAGAGTGAGTGAGAATGACAACACAGAATGAGAAAAGCAAAATTAATTGAAGGGCATAAAGAGTATTTTCTTAGTTCAGTACTTCACGCACAGATGAGTAAGACACGGGTTTATGAACATCATCAACAGCAGAATGCTAACCATGGTCATTTAAAATAAAATATTCTAGTATTTTAGAACAGGCATCCTATAAATCTACTTAAATTAGTACCTCAACTCCAAGCATGGATTGAATGGTTCTGACATAGGTCTCTATTCGATCATCCTTTAGTTCAACCCAGGCTGGTGGGCTCAGGCGCATTCCAATGGGGCCAGCTATCTTCTCTAACATGTTAACCAGTTCTCGGGCTTGGTCCATTGCTCTCTTTGGGTAAAACAGTGCCCAGAAATGCATGGGGACCTAGAAACAACCATAAGCTAATTTTAGTACTTCCCACAGCTTGAACACTCCAAACTCACACCCAGGAGATAGTATTCTAGACAGCAACGAGAATGCAAGATTTATGACCATACCTAACAACATGGGTGAAACTCACCAACACAAGGTTGAAGAAATGAAGCCAGACATACAAGAATGTATACTGTATGATTTCAAGTACAAAAACATTTGAAACGCATCTCTGCCTTTAGAAGTCAGGGCAGGGGCTATTCTTGGGTGCATGAGGATGAAAGGTAGGAACTAAGAGCAGGGAGGGAGTGCTTCTGGGGCACCGGTTAAGTTCTGTTTCTTAATCCTTGATATTGATTACACAGGTCAGTTTAACTTGTGAAAATTCATCAAGCTGTACACTTAAAAGTGTACTTTTTCTTGAAATATATTTCAATAAAATGTTTTAGAAACAGATGTGTGTACTCTACATGTGGCCATAAAGACCAAGTTAACCACAGACATTAAAAAATAATTATATATCATTTTATTTTTTGCTGCCTGTGGTAGGGAACTTTTTAATTTTGCTTCTCTCATGAATAAAAACTCCTTCCAGGAACCCCTAGGGAAAAAGAGGTGAGAAAGAGGAAGGAAGGAAACAGGGAGGGTGGGTAGGAGGCTGACACTATAGGAATTACCGCAGCAATTTGTTTTCTTTTCCTAAGTCCATGGTCAAGCAAAGGGCTTACTTCTAACAACTCATTACCTTGCTCTGTTTGAAGGACCCTGTTTAGTATCAGGATGGAAATGCAGTGGGGACTTTCAAAAAGAAGACACTAAAAATCATCCCTGCTTCCTAATTTCTACACTTTTAGGAATACTGGTCCTCTTTTTACCACCTCAAAAATCACTTACAGTCAAAATGGAAAGGTCTCTGGTCACTTCCTTAATCCAGTTTAGTTCCTGAGATGTGATAAATGAAGTATTTCTTAAGTTAATTCTTTCCATTGGCAGAACACGTCCTTCAATCTAAACAGAAAAGAAATTACCAATGACATAAGCCATTTGCAGACACTATTATTGTTCTCTCTGGGGCCTGGCCAGCTCCACTATATAAACTTGTCCCTGTTATAATTTTTGAAAATAGCAGAAAAATGAAACTGCTAGTAGTGAGAGTCCATGTCAATAAAACCCCGGACATATACAGATAAAATTTTTATAGGCACTGCTCTTTAATTATGGAAGCTTCCAAGAAAGGAATGAAAAAACACTGTCTCTTCTGAAGCAGTGAATGCATGTAAAATAATTATAATTTCAAAGTGAACAGGAAAATAATCTTTAAACACATATTAAGGGAAAAAAAATGAAAGAAAAATAAAGGTAAAATTTCTTAACAATACTGAACACAAATTATTCCACTTTATACAAAGAAAAAGTGGAAGGAAAAGGCATAGGTATAATGAAAACAAATTAAAGTTAAGAATAACACATTAGTTAGATCTAAATATCCCCAAATAGGAAGATGACTAGGTTGATGATACATCAAAATATGATGGACTATTTTGCAATCATTAAAGTCACTTTCTAACTACATGTAATATAATCCTGTTTTTGTTAAAAAAAAGAAATAGCTATGTATGCATCGTAAAAACTGTATGAGTCCAAAATCAGTAGCGATTACCTCCGGAGAAGTGTAATTATGGAGAATTCTTACTTTCTGTGACCTCTACTATTTTCGCTTTTTATTGTATTTTATAATTTCTTTTTTAGAGGAAAAAGGAAAATTTATTAGAAAAGGAATAACACTCTACAGAGTGTGGTCTCCTCTCACAGACAGTAAGAGGGACAGAGAGAAAGACAGTGAGAAAGAGACAGAGTAAAGGCACTGAGAGGGACTTATTTTTGCTTTAAAAAAAATATTTTATCTATAATGAAAAAAATTTCAACGGTTTTCTTAATATTATAAATGTCTAAAACAATGAATGACAATACCTACATTAGCAAGAGTGTAAAAAATCAGACTCATGCTTATGAAAGTAAAAAACTGTCGAACCTTTCTAGAGGGCAATTGGCAATATATTATAAAAGTACTAAAAACATAAATGTCCCCTGACCTAATAATTTTGCCTCCATAAATGTGACTATGAAAACAAACAATAACGTGCAAAGATTTAGTTACAAGAATGTTCATTGAATCACTATTTATAATAGGAAATAAATTCAATTTGAATGTGAAAGATTAAGAAATGCAACTAAAATGAAATATCTGGCAGCTATTAACATATTTAGAAAAATATTAAATAACATGCAAAAACATTCTAAATATACGGAAGGAAAAAAGGAGACCATATGAATACATACTGTGTGTGAGCATGCGCATGTACACCCACAGAGATAACACTGAAGGATATGTACAAAGATGTGAACAGTGGTTATTTAACATAGCAAGATTATGCATAAACTTTTTCTTTTTTGACTTATGTTTTCTGTCTTGAAATAATATTTAATAACAAAAACATGTTCAAGACATAATATTTAATTTAAAAAAAGATGCAAAACCATATGTACTACAATTACAATTTTATAAGAAAAAGATTTACTCTGAGAAAAAAGTTTAGGGGAAGGAACTCCACTGAAAAAATTATCTGTTACATGTATCTAAAATAAATCACTGAGATATCATTGGATGATGAAATTACTGATCTTTTTATTTCATTTTTTATACTTTCTAAAGTTTCTACAATATTGAATATCTATTACTTTTATATAAAAAAAAAGAAAATGAAGAAAATGTAAGCAAGGAGTCAATTCAGCGTGCAAGAGAACTAAAGAAAAGACAATTCTTTTGATATAACCTCAAAAGAATGATGAAAAGTAGTAATAGCTAATATTTATTGAGCACTTGCTATGTAACAGATATTATGCTAAAGATTTTATCGATTTTTAACTCAATCATTATCCTCATTTTACAGGTAAAGAAACTAAGAGATACTAAGCAATCTGCTCAAAGTAACCAAGATGGCAAATGGTAGAAGAGATTCAAAGCCAAATAAGCTGACCCCAAAGGCTCAGGATTTCGCTGCCACCTCAGGCTGCCTCTGCGCTACGGATCATGCCACACAAACACAACACAGGACACAGCAACTGCAGGCAGAAGGGCCACAAGAAAATCAGACTGTACAAGTGTGAGACTCCTTATGCCTACAGAAAGAATAGTAGTAGTATAGTCAAAGAAACACAAGTTAATCATAGGGAATGAAAAAAAAAAACAGGGAAAAAAAGAAAAAGACATAAAACAATAAGAATAATTTGTGTTGGAAACCTGAAAATGAGATAAATTTTAAGTCAATATTCCTTTTGCAACATGAAAAATAACAGCTCAGATCTCTGGGAAATACAGAGGAAAATCTATTAGACATACTTGGCAAATTAAGTCAAGGAAATTCAAGTATTAGACTAGGACCAAAAAAATAAAAAGTATTATAATAAAGCAAAAACTCCAAAATAAAGACAAGATAGGAGTTATCACATAGTGTCACAAAGCTCTGGCATCGTTGGTTAATGCTGTTTCCTACCCCACCACATCCTCTGGGTTACCTTATGTACATCCTTCTGCAGACAGAGTCCCCAACGTGTTAGTTCATTGCTGGCTGCCTCATTCTTTGAAATTCTCTGTAGCAAGCATTCCAAAGCATTATGGTGCTGTTTGGGGCTAAGGTTGATCTGCTGGGTCAAATCCTAAATATAATTAAAATGGAGATAATAAATTATAAGTGTTTCTTTCTCCAATATGAGGTTAAATAAACCCCAATAAGTCTAAAAAGTTTCCATAAGAATCTTCTTATTGAAATCTGTAGAAATTTTCAATGATCTCCAAGGACTTTACTATCTCTCAGGAATGTGAATGAGGTATAAGGTTAAAATTTTAATCCTAAAAGTAATAATTTTAAATGTTATTGTTTTTCTCCCTCATGACTTGTAAATTGTATCTCTTTCTTAAAGCCATGTTCTGAATTTTAAAAATATTACTAAGAGATTAAGAGATTCTATGTAACAGGGGCAAAGTGGGCTTGAGTATACCTATTCGATATCTGGGAAAAACAGAGGAGGGGATGCCTTTGCCAGGCACACAGCCAAGCATAACAAAATGGAAAACCACATCCAGTCTTATACTTTATCTCATACTACACCAGCCATTTAATGTCACAATAAGACATTTTTTTTTGTCCAGATACTAGCCCATAATAGTTGCTTTCTAAATATTTATTATTGAATGAGAATATGAAGATTCTGAATCACATAAGTGAGTTCTTTATTCTTCTGGGACTAACAAATTATTCGGCTGTTGTTCCTTGAGAGGCAGTCATTAGGGACAGTAAGTCTATGGAGCTGTATGGATAGCTCTGTGATCACAAAGTCATCAGGAAACTGGAAGTTGTATGGAAAGACCCTTCCTTTAAAAGAAAAGGTATCAGAAGGTAAACATGAAAGAAATCTCTTATAGGAATTTCGAGCATCACTTCAGGCTTTTTATGATGTTACTAAAAATAATATGTGGCATCCGAGACAAACATGGTTCAAAGATAAGAGAGACAAGGGTTGGGAAAGTGAGGCGGCAGAGTAGCTCCATTGTGGAAAGACCCAGGAGAGTATGGAGGTGAAGCATGCAGGGTCCGGACCCATCTGCTGCACACATCTCTGCTTCTCAGCTATTTCCTGCTGGAACTGAGCCTAACTCCCGGGACACCCTGAGCCCCACAGGATCAACTTCTGTACCTTTACCTCATCCTCTGACTTGTAACTTTTTGCTAACTTATCTCCTCCATTCCTTCAAACAAATTAAACGCTGAGAAATGTTTTTAAAAATTCAGTGCTCTCAGAGAACCTCACTTATGATCATATGACCAGTTTACAGTCACCCATCTAACTGAGAAGGATGAAGACAGAATTGTTCCCTTTTATCCAATAACCCAGTCACTCTGCTGTTCTAACAATCTGCAAAAGGAAGCTCTGATCAGCTTTTTCAGCGTGTGAGAAGAAACATGGATCATGTTTTACAAAGAAAACTGGAGCTTGAAAGAACGGACCTGCCTGGGAAAAGGTGTAAGACAGGCCCGGGGCTAGTTCAATCTGCCACTGAAAAGGTCTCCCACTCAAAGCAGGCATTTCTCACCTTCATGGCTCTGAAGTCTTTCTTCATCTTCTCAGGGATCCCAGTCATGAAGGAAAGCTCAGGCAGCAGCAGAATTTCACCTTTTAGCAGCTTTGAAGAGAAAAATTAGGCAGTAAGAGAGGATCCTGTTCCCGTGACCTGTACAGGACGTGCCATGCCCAAGGCTGGCCCTGCAAGGCTATCACCAACACTAAAGAACATAAAACCACAAAGAAGAGGGCAGCAAAACGCTGCAGGCATATTACCCTTTTCTCCTCAGTCACAATACCTATAGCTATTGTTTAAAGGGAGAAAATATTGTAACTGTCAAAAGGAGAGAAATTAGACAAACGAAAAAATTCTGTCCCTCTTGGGCCTCCAGATAAGCTAAGACCATATATTCTATCAAGTTGGTGCCTCTGCCTCATCTTAGCTTGTTAATCTTCAGGTTGTACACTGAAGGCAGAAGAGTCAGGTGTCAAGGTGCTTTCCCTTAGCCCCCAGCCCTCTTAAAATGTCTCAAATTTCCCTTATAATCTTCTTTAGCAGCAAACCGTGTGATTCCTTCACTTAACTCACTCATGTGGATATTTAGCCCCTCGTTATGGGGACTTCAAAAGCAAATTCTACAAAATGAGGAGGCGCCCCTGGCTAGATGAAGCAGACAAAACCCTGCACAGTTTTCCCTGCCACCCTGTGATCATTGCTCCTCAGCTCCCAGAGCTGTGATGAAGGTGAAGAGCAGCTAACGGACACCCCCACTCACCATGCCTTGTTTATTCTGCCTCTCGCTGGGCCTGTGGATCAGTAGTGGCTGGTCCTCTTCCTTAATTGTGATCCCATAGTTTTTGCTACAGCAGGGCAGAAACAGAAAAAAATTTCAGAAGCAGCATCACTACTCTTATAGCAACATAGTCTGAGTCTCTTAACCAGGACTGAAGTACAAATCTGCATAATCCTTTTGTCAAGGGTCCATCAGAAACTCATCATAGCATATTTATAACTAGAAAAGCTGGTTCGAATCACTTTGTAATTAAATAGGGGAGAACTAGGCTAACAGTCCAGAAAAGAATTTGCAAACTGCATCAAGATAAAAGCCTTAGGCAACTAGACAGGCAAAATGATAGTCAAATGAATGCCTTGCATTTAATCTCTTGAACCAGACCTCTAACCAAACCAGCAAAAGTACAATTCAAAGCTCTGAGATTAATTTATGAAGTAATTTCCAAAAGTACTGAAAGAAACAAAATTTTAAAGGTGACATATTCAGAGCTAATTTAATCTAAAGTACATTATCAATCTAATTATTTTTAGTGTCCCATGGTACCCACTATGGAACTCAATATCCTGCTAGAGAACTGTAGACTATGACCCACCCCCACCCACAGGCCCAAGCCCAGTCTCTTCTACCTGTAGTATTCCAAAAATGTGATCTCCTTTCCATCAGACATCGTGAAGCTATCTTTCGGAGTCTTATTCCAATCCACATCATCAATACGATAGGTGCGATTGTTGTATCGGGTTATGACAATATTGCCGACCAGAAGCTTAGTGCACTCATCCTGGAAGTTTTCTTTGTTCTGCTGATACATGGCATGCCTTTGGAAAGAGAAAAAAGACTTTTGGATCACATTTGTATAAATAAAGCAATATGAAAGGGATGGGGGATGCAAATAAGTATTTTAGGGGTATAATCACAGCTATATAGCACCAAAAGGCCCCAGTGTCTCTTTGAAGAGAGAGGATTCTCATCTCTTTTCTTTTTGGCATTTTTTTTGGGCATACCAAAAAAAAAAAAAAAAAAAAAAAAAAAAAAATCAACAAAAAATAGTAAAAGGATAAAAATCAAATTGAAAACAGCAACTACAAATTAATAAAATTCACTGTATTCATTAAAATAAGATATTTTAGTCACCAAAACACTTACTATTTTGTGTCATTGTTAGGACATAGTCTACAGAGGAACAATAAAACATTCTTTAAACTATATGTACCCTTTGTAGCTGAAGGAAGAAACTACAGTACCTATCAGAAAGGCAGCCCTGGTGAAGATGGTGAAGATGCTAAAGATGCAGAGATGAAAAGACTCACCACCTACAAATGTTTCCCTGTGGTAAGCTAACTGCGGTGAACAAGACAACACAACAAACTTGCAGAAATACACCCAGGGAGTCAAGAAAAGTTTACAGAGGCAAACTGCCAGGAGCAAACTGCCAGGAAGAAAACACCACAGCAGGGGAATGAGTGACACTCAAGGCAGAGGCAGAGGCAGAGGCAGCAGCATGCAGGGGACTAACTAGGATCTGGGACTGGGTAGGTGAAAGGGGAAGAGAAGATGATAAGTGCAAGCTGCAGACAGGCAGGGATCAAATATTAATTCCTTTGTAAGTCAAGGATCAGAGCTTGAACTTTTCTCTGTGGGCCATGTCACCAGGGTACATTCCTCAGGAACACTGGTCCCTTGACAGGTTATGAGAGGGTGAAGAAAATTCCACAATCAAAAAAGTTGAGTACATTCGGCATATTATAACTCCTTAGAGATTACCAGATTAGGCTGTCAAAGGGCAGAAACATATTTAGTTTTATTTACCTCCAACTAAAAATTACCTTTTAAAAAATATTTTACTTCGAAACAATTATAAAATCAAAGGAAGTTGCAAAATTTGTACACAGAATTTCATGTATGGAATTGACATTGGTACATTACTGTCAATTAGACTACAGGCTTTACTCAGTTTTCATCATTTTTTGCATAACACTGAAGGAACTATTTCATGCTACCCCATAACAGTCCTGCTTTTTCCTCTTCTGTCCCTTGGCAACCACTAATCTGTTCTTAATCTCTATAGTTTTATCCTTTTTGAGAATGCTATATAAATGGAACTTTATCATGCAACCTTTTGAACATCAACATTGTTCAATAGGCATAATGCCCCTGAGACCCATCCAGAGTATTCTACATATCAGCAGCTCACTGTCATTTGTTGCTGAGCAGTATTCCATTGTATGGTGGTACCAGGGTTCATTTAACCATTCGCCTGGTGAAAGATGTTTGGTTGTTTCCACTTTTTTGCTATTGCTGTTATGAACATTTGTGTACCAGTTTTTGTGTTAACCTAAGTTTTCATTCCTCTGCAAAAAATGCCCAAGAATGTGACTGCAGAGTCATATGGTTAAGTGCATGCTTTGTTTTATAACAGCCACAAAATTCTCTGAGGTGGTGGAACCATTTTATATTCCCACCCATAGTATATGAGGAACAATTTTTCTACATCCTTACCAGCATTAGGTATTTTCACTATATTTTTAGTTATTCTAATAGGTGTATACTGATATCTCATTGTAGTTACAATTTGCATTTCACTAACAGCTAATGATGTTTAACACCTTTTCATGTACTGATTTATCTTCCATATCATCTCTCTGGTGGAATGTCTGTTCGTATGTGCCCATTTTCTTATTGGATTGTTGTTTTACCATTACTATGGTTCTGCTCAAAAAGTGTTACATATTCATTGTAAAATAAAACACAATCACAAAACACAGAAATTAAACATGGTTTGTAATCCCTTTCTGAGATCCACTTTCCCTCAGCTTTCCTTAAATTTGTGAATACTAACAATTTAAAAATATATATGTGTAATCATACCACATACACTGTTTCACAACTTGTTTTTTAACTTAATATCATTTGGATAGTCTTCCAGGTTAATATAAACATATAAGGTTTGTAAACAAAGGACTACTTTCAAACAAGGCATTTCAGATTCCAAAGAACTAAAATTAGCCAGCTTTGGTTCTGAGCTATGAAGAGACTCTGGTACAGGAAGAACCTATAGGTATACCAGTGTAATAATGATCATAAGGAATTAAAAATGTTGGTGCAATAATGACATTATAGTTATGTTTTAAAATCAAAGTCAATTTAGGATATATAGACTAAAATATTTGTGAAATAAATAAGGCGTCTGGGATTTGCTTCAAAATAATGCAGTTTGGCTGGGGAAAATGGTAGGAACAAAGTTGGAACATGGAACAAAGCTGTTCATGAATTGATAATTGTTGAATCTATAAATGGGGAGAAGATTTATTATACTATTCTCTCTACTTTTGTAAATGTTTTAAATTTTTTATAATAAACTATTTTAAAAGTAAAAAATGTATAATAATAATTAAAATATAAATACACTCTGGCAGGAGAGGGAAAAATACAAAAATTCAACACTGTTTTCTAATTCTAAAAATGAAAAGTTAGTATATAGAAAACAAAATAATTATAACTGTAATTCTTATTTTTGATGATATTCAAAAGATGACTGAATCTATGAAAGGAAAGTAATTTGAGAGCAGCAGAAATCGCTTTAAAGAAAAATAAAGCATGACTGCCAACTTGTAGAAATCTTAGCAAAGATGATAGAGGCAGCAAATCCAGCTTGGAAATCAAATTTATAAATTAAAAAATTTAAGAAATTGTTTTAACTTAATAATTGGTTTAAGAAATTGTTTTAGTACTCTGAGGAAATGAGAAAAAGGTGAGTATGATAAAATAAAGGATGTAGAAGTCTAAGAGGTAAAAGATATATATATACATATATGTGTGTATGTGTATGTGTGTGTGTGTGTGTGTGTGTGTGTGTGTGTGTGTATATAAAATTTACAGAAAGAAACAAAGAAATAAAAGAAAATTGGATCCAATTGAAAGAGCTCAAAAAACAGTAGCCAAAGTAATGAAAAAAGATCTGAATCTGAAAGTTCTGAAAAAATTTGCATTTCAAATATAAAAAGGAGAAGTTGGTAAGGGGTTTCTTATCGGGGTCATGAAAATGTTCTGGAATTAGTGGCCTTATTTAGCTTTCACCATTTTTTATACACAATGATTTGTGTATATACTAAAAAACAGTGAATTATGCACTTAAAAAATCCTGAACTACGCACTTCCCACATACTCTCTATAAGACCAGCAGTCTCTTATAGTAAGCAGCATGTTAACTTCCTCTTTATATCAGACAGAATAGATGTCTCATCTTTTGACAGTTCTGGAGGTCTCACCAAGATAAGTGTGAAAACTCTTCTTAGGCAACATTCCAGGGAGTCTCAGGCCAACAGATGCTCTTGCTGGGCCCTTTGTGCTTAACTCCATTTGTTCTTCAGATCTGCTGTCAAGGGAGTCACTCCCAGCATCCATTGGTGGTCTATTTCATTAGGCTCTGGTATAATACTGACCTCTTCCATTTAGAAGTATATTATTGGGTATAAAATCAAACACAGGTTTTTAGGCTTTTGGTTTTGAAGGTATACCATTTGAAAATATTTTTGCCATTAACTTGATTATTTGCTATTTCCTTACATTGCTTTTGCTGTTATTTGTCTATATGCCCAAAGTCTTCTTTCATGTGTTTTGTTTTGTCCTGAATTTTCTTGTCTCTGTTACATGTACAAGAGAGTGTTCTATAGAAAATAGATGAAGGTATAAGTCTCAAAAACCAAGCCAACCCACTCCAAGGGATCATAGTTAGAGGTCCATTAGACCAATTTGTAAAAAAGCAATTGTTTGAATGTCATGAAGGCACTCTTTGTCTTGTTAATTTGTGAAAGAAGGCCACTCTGTTTATTTAGTCCAAATTCCAGGGTCAGTGATAGTTGGGTCGCTGATCTCATGACCCCTTCCTATCTGTGGTTGGAACCTGAGATATGGTTCACAAACACACATCCTTAGACGACCTTAATGCTCCTTTCTTGTTTGTCACAGGTTTGCCTATGGCAAATTCTTAACCTCTCCCTGGAAGAATTTCTGCTTCTGATATAAAGGCATACTATAATCTTAACTCTTGTACTTTCCTTGGTAAAAGGCAAAAAAAAGAAAAAGTAAATTAAAATGCCCAACCCGCACATGAAGCACTGTCCAGTATAGATCATACTCTATGTCATAAAACAAACCTCAGTAAATATAAAAGGATAGAAAATACAAAATAAGTCTCTGACCACAATAGAATGAAATTAGAAATTGATAACAGAAAGAAACTGGGGAAACGCAAGTATGTGTAAATTAAACAACATACTCCCCTAAGTAATCAATGAATCCAACAAAAAATCATAAGGGAAATTACAAAATACTTTGAGTTAAGTTAAAATGAAGATACAACATACCAAAACTTATAGGATACAGCTAAAGCAATATGTAGAGGGAAATTTATAGCTGTAAATTTCTACATTAAAAATAAAGCATATCTCAAATAAATAAGCCTACACCTTAAGACACTGGAAAATGAGAAGCAAACTAAACCTAAAAACAAACAGAAGGAAGGAAATAATAAACATAGGAGTGAAATTAATGAAACAGAGAAAAGAAAAATAGAGAAAATCAGTAAAACCAAACATTGACTTTTTGAAAAGGTCAACAACACTGAGAAACCTTAAACTAGACTGCCCATGGAAAAAAATGAGACTCAGATTACTGAAATAAAGAATGAAAGAGGGGACAGCAAAGTTAATTTATCATCCCTTTTAAAAGGATGATAAGGGAAAATTGTGAACAGTAGTGTGCCAACGAATTAGATAACCTAAATGAAATGGACAAATTCCTAGAAGGACATAAACTA